CGGAGGAACTGCTTCGACTTGCACTTGACAGGACGGCTTTACCGATATGCCTGAAAATTGTTGAGGAGGTAGCTTAGAGCCAGGAGACGGACATAGGATACTGTTTATTTTCGATACTATCATTTTATTTTCGAATTTATGCCTTGAAGGGCTGGTTTTTATTTAACTTACTAATATTATAAATGCGAATGTTTAGATGGATGTGATATGGATGGATGGATGGGTGTTTGAAGATATCTCTAGAACGGATGAATGGATCTCGATTAAATTTGGCATATATATAGAACATAGTCTGAAAGAACACATAGGCTACACTAATTATGTTTTTTATATATATCCACGCGGACGGAGTCGCGGGCGACAGCTAGTATGTTTTAAACGGAAATTATAGTCTCAGAAACCAAGCTTAAATCTAATTTTAATTCTCTGTACAGGCATTAACTGTATTAGTCTATCTTTAGATCTTCGGGAACTCCATGAGTACAGTTTAACCTATATTTCAGACATTCTCTGATAAACTAGCTTACCTAGGCTTTATCTAAACCTACGTATAGGCTGTCTAGGTTTCTTACCTTTGAAATTAATTAGATGCTTTCATCAGATTTACCTTTTTAGTATAAGCAAAATATGTTTAGGCATTTCAAAAAGGTGATACAGTAAAAATTGGTTCATACGGATTAGAGAAGAGAGGAGTTAGGGAGCTACCCCGTAGAGAAATGTAAAATATACACAAAAACTACCTTAAATAAGAACATAGTAATATAATGTCACCTAGACCTAAACTAACCTAGATTATTTTTTTATATCATAAGATGGCAAACGAGCGAGCGGCCACCTGAAATCGCTGAAATAGCGAAGTGACCGTTGCCCATAGACATACGCAATCGCATATGCGTTGCCTAGAAACCTAGACTATCGGCTGGCGATACCCATGTATACTGTGCCGACTGACTACAATCGAACCTTCAAATGAGACTCGAGTGGGGTTAGGTAAAATGCATTCGCTTCAAAGCGATTCTATAACGAACTTCAATATACAATATTGAAAACTGGAACTGACACGCGACAATCACGTGACTAATCGAAAGTTATTATCAGTACTACACATGTTTGAAGTTCGTTATGAATTATCTAATCGAAGGTACCGCGATAATTCTCTCGCTTACAATAGTTTCTCTTTAACCAGAGTTTCTACTTAGTTAATGTAGGTTTCCGTGATCAAACCCCCGTTTATATGATTTAAACGAAGTTTTTGGTTTCAGTAACCAATGCTTAATTGTTAGAGGTTTCTTACTTATCAAGTTTCACCTGTGTAAGTATAAGTCTTCCCACAATGGAAACTCATCAAACTTTAAATACTACTATTAATAAGTTATAAGTAACAAGCATATTTGAGAGTTTAATATTATGTTAATCTTGTTAACCTTTAATTACGCAAACTCTGACCGACCGCGATACGCATTCAGTCAGAGGTAACCAACTAATGGTCCGTAAAGTTAAAAAACGAATAAAATTCTTGCATTTAATATTTAAATAAAGCATTTCTATATATTTAATAAACTTTATAGGATTTTTGAATCGTATTGTTAGTTAAATACTTGATCTACAGTTCTTTAAAAGCGTCGGTGACTCAGGGGTCATGCACTTGACTTGCAATCTGCAGCTCCTGGGTTCGAATCCCGCCATGT